ACATTAAACCCTTCAGCTCTACCTTCACAGGTTGATCTGAACTTTACAGCAACTTCACGCTCTAAGAGTTCTCTTCTTCTCCGTCAACACTTCTACACTGGATTTTCCAGTCAACACGGATTCACAACACCATGGCTTCCCTCCAGTTCCCCCACACTGCCGGCATTATCCGCGCATCAAACACCCTGTCACTCTCTGCAACAGGACTTTGTCTTGTTCGACCAGCCTACACATCCCAACAACCTGCCTAAACGTGCATTGCACAACCTGCCAGGTTTACGCTTACCAAACCGCCGCCACTCGTCTCATCAATACCTCCAGTCAGAATTCACCAACATATCCATTCAATCGAAATCGCAATCATCTGCTGCTGGAAACGGATACTTAAACTTGAATCCCTCCAATCGTCCCTCCTCTGTCAACATTACCAGATCAACACGTGGAACGGATCAAAATACATCTGGAAGCTCACGCCACACATCGCGACCAGTTCGCCCACCAGTCCCGCTATTTGCAGAGAGCACACCCGGTATTACACAATCTGATTCTGCGAACATGAATATCGCGGGTGAGTGCCTGAAATGTGGATTGATCCAGTCATACATCAGCTCACAAAGGCCTATAGACTTCGCGGAATTTACAGGGTTCGAGGGTGGGGCATCCACTGCCTACTCGTCGCCCAGCGCCCCTTCGGTATTCGATATGCCAAGTGGATCCCACAACATTGGTACTGTTTCACCGCAGGACCTCTTAATTCAGGATCCATACATGTCCGCGCCGAATTCAACGGCATTCACCGCCTTGACATCGCCTTCGCCATTCGAATCGCCAGAATATATTGATGGCTACGAAGTGTCGCCAAACTTTGGGGGCTCTGGAGAATTCGATGTGGCTAGCAACCAGTGGTTCTCACTTTTCCCTGACCAGAACGCGAGTGTCGAGACACAGGGGGCGGAGCAGCCGCTTGGGCACAATGTTCAGAACAGCTTGGCAAGCGGGTCCCCCCGCCGTAAGTCGAGTGCCTCGCCTGCTACTGGGCGGCACTCGTCGGTGGCTGGCGTCAACGCGAGGAAACGAGACAAGCCTCTGCCACCCATCGTTGTTGATAATCCGGATGACGTTGTGGCGATGAAGCGCGCTCGCAACACTCTGGCAGCCCGTAAGTCTCGAGAGCGTAAAATGCAGCGGTTCGAGGATCTGGAGGAAAAGATTCGCAAGTTGGAGGCGGAACGTGATCACTGGAAGACGATGGCTTTGGGTCAGTCGACCACCGACTAAAGTTTTTTTGCATTCCGAGTTTAGGGGGAACTGGAGTTTTACTATATTCATAGCTTGATGATATAATACAATTCATATTGCGGAGTTTTAAATGAATAGGGTCATCAGTAAATGAACTCTCTACAGTTTCGAACTCCAGTTCATTTTCAGAATGTGCTATATCTCAGTCTTACAGGTAGGGAATTATTACTATAAAGATTAAGCAGCTACTATTACTCTAGTAACTGGCTTCTAGGTGGTAAACGTTAAGAGTGTTAGTATTACAACTAATAGAACTCTTAGTTATAACTCTAGGGTAAATATTATTAAGTAGTATATATAAATTATACTAAATATAGAAAAGGCCTAGAATAATAAAGATTATAAGGAGGAGTATATCCTAATATACTTATATTATTATCTTAATATAATTAAATTAGTAAAAGGAATTTATTATAAGAATACTTTTATTACTTATATAACTATATAAATATTTAAATTAATTCTAGACTCTTATTTCTATTTATTTAATATATAATACCCTTATTTGAAATTAATTCTATAGTTATTATAGTTTATTTATTATAGTCTTTATACTTATTATAAAATAAAGGTATTAACCTCTAGGCCTATACTAGGGAAAGTAGATAGATTAGAGTTTAATAAAGATCTCCATATATTAACTCTAACTACTTAAAGTTATTAAATAGAGTTTACTTATTAAGGGCACTATAAGGAGTTCGAGGTTAGGAACTTAACCCTCTATCTATGTTATCGCTAATATTTTAGTAATAAGCCTAAGTAAAAGGAATAATAGAGGCTATACTCGATAGGTTCAATAAATTAAAGTTAATAAATTAATTAACTAATTATTCGTTAATTTACTTACTTCCTTTTATTAAAGCTTTTAATTTAAGACTTTTCTATTCTTTAATCTCCTTAATTTATAATTAAATTAAATAAAATAATAAATTAAATAAAGTATATAAGAAATTAAAAGTAAATTACTTATTATTATAGATATTACTCTAAGGATAAGCTAATAAGAACTCTATTAAAATCTTTATAAAGTAATTATAATACGAAGATAATTCTAAAACCTAAATCTTCTTTAGAAGATTATTATTAATCTATTAATAGATGAATAATCTGAATGAAGTTATAAATATAAATTCTCTAATTTAATTAATAAGATCTATAAATAAAAATATAAAAATAACT